CATACATACATACATACATACATACATACATACATACATAGACAGATAAGGTGGGTAGGTAGGTAGATTAAAAAAGAGTAGCAGGAGGCACAGTGTAGGCTGCTGGGAGAGAAACAGCATCAGTGGTCTTACCTATCTGTGAATAGCAGTAATTCCTGGTCTCCCAGACAAATCTAGGTCTCTGAGCTCATACTTTGATGAAGTGCTTATCATGTCTAAGAGTTTTCTGCTGGGGTATTTTTACTGTTGGAGTTGTGTTTTGGTGCCATTTGTTTTGTTTTTGAGACAGGCTCTCACTGTGTAACCCTGGCTGGCTTTGAACTCATGATATAGACCAGGCTAGCCACAAGCTCAGAGATCCACCTGATTTTGCTGGAATTAAAGGCATGTACCACCACCCCCAGATTAATTGGTGTGTGTTTGTCATCTGGGTGTGTGGACTTGGTCCAGCTGCAGTACCTTCTTCAGCATCATGGACTCCCTGCCCTGAAACATAAACCAGACAATACAAATGTCAAGCCCCCTGTGTTGTATATATTAAATATTCTGTCATATCAGTGAAAAAGTTAACTAATAGAGCTCTCAGAGCTAACAGCCTTCCTTTAGAACTGTGTTTATTATATCCCAAGTGTCTTAGTATTTCATTTTTTTTTTAGCAGGGTCTCTCTATGTGCCCCTAGCTGTCCTAGAATTTTGTGTAGATCTGCAGGCTGGCCCTAAATTCACAGAGATCTGACTGCCTCTGCCTCCCAAGTGCTGGGGATAAAATATTGAGCCCACATCATCCTTTAGTAAGTAGTATTTTCATTTGCATTTGATTTTAAGAATTTTAAAATTTTTCTCCTGATTCTTCATTGATCCACTGGTCACTCAAGAGCAGTGTCCAATTGCTGTTTCTTTGCATAGTTTCTAGATTTTCTTTTACTATTGATGTTTAGTTTTATTTCACTGTGATATGAGTAAACAGAAGAAATAATTTTGATCCTTTTGTATTTGTTAAGACATCACTTATAGTTTACAATGTGATCTATTTTGTAAAGCACTCCATGGTCTACTGAGAATATGTCTTCAATAGTTACTGCTTGCAAAATTCTTTGGTTTTTTTTTTTTTTTTTTTATGTATATGGGTGTTTTGCATACATGTCGGTCTGTGCACCACCACATGTAGTACCAACAGAGGCCAGAAGAGGGCATTGGATTCCCTAGGAATTTGAAATTTGAATTCTAGACAATTGGTAGTTGCTACCTGGGTGTTGGGAAATGAACCCAGGTCCTCTGGAAGACTCTTAACCACATAGCGCTCTCTCCAGCCCATTTGCAATAATCTGAAGTTCTCTTGCAATTTAACTCTTCACTTTTGTTTTTTTAAGTTTTTAAAATCTATGTGATAGCTCTTTTGATAACAATGCGGTATTGATGTCACCCACTATGAATGTTTCTGTATTATTTATCTGTTCATGTCTAGCAATGTTTATTTTAGAAAATCATATACCTGAATCAGTACATATATATTTATTACAAATTGTTGCTCATATTAATAGATTATAGCATGTTTTATCTAATTCAATCTTAGGTAAGGTGAAATTTAACAGATGTAAGTTTAGCTGCTCATGGTCAGTTTTTGTCTTCCATGTACTTTGTATATTATTTTACATTTTATATTATCAATCTCTTTGCCAATGATTTATTTATTGTAGATTTAAAAAATTAGTAAGATCTTGCTTTTAACACACACAGTAGGTCTTTGTCTTATAACTAGAGAACTCAGACTATTAATGGATAGTTATTTACCAGGGACTATGTGTTGATTCTGGCAATTTGTTGATTGTTTATGTTTGGTTGGGTTGTTTGTTCATTGTTTTTTTTCTCCTCGACTTCTTTTTGGAATTTGCTGGGTTTGTGAGTTGGACATGACTGACTCGTTCCTGGTTCTCCTTTATTTATATCTTTATCTCTTTCTTGTACACTCATGACTAAGAATGCCTTTCTTGTTGGATGGTCGTGGCACACTCCTTTAATCCCAACACTGGGGAGGCAGAGGCAGATAGATCTCTGAGTTTAAGGCCAGCCTGGTCTACAGAGCAAGTTCTAGAATAGCCAAGGCTATACAGAGAAACACTGCCTCAAAAAAATTTTTTAAATGTTTTTCTTTAAGCAGAGCATATTGATGCATGGCTATAACCCCAGAATTTGGGATTTGAAGGAAGGAGGATTATGTGTTCAAGATCATCCTCAGCCTGAACTTCATTAGATGAGATCTTAAACTACTAAATGTTGTGGGCAGTTGAGATGGCTCAGCAGGGAAAGGCACTTGCTGCCAAGCCTGCCAAGCTGAGTTCAATTCTCAAGACCCGAAAGGTGGAAGGAGCTGACTCCCAAGAATTCTCCTCTGACAACCCCATGCACACTGGGTTGCAAGTCACACACACACACACACACACACACACACACACACACAACTTGGAAAATAAAAATGAAGTGTGTGTAGGATTAAGTATCTTCTATGTGCTGGATTGATGGTCATGAGTTGCCTTAGTTTCTCTATGCTGAAATGTCTTTCTTTCCCTGTGAAGTTTAAAAGGTGAAACTGCTCAATTTGCAGTCTTGGTTACCAGTTATGTTCATTGACTGCCAGAAATAGGTCATTTCATGCTTTCCTGAATTGTTATGGTTTTTCTGAGAGCTGTGATAAAGTTCTGAGTGGCTCCCTGGTTTGGTGAATTAGCATTTTCCACCAGTGGCTTTTAACACTGATTTGTTTATTCATTTGTTTGTTTTGAGTAAAACAAGACAGAGTTTCTCTGTGAAGCAGTCCTGGCTTTCCTGGAACTCGTTCTGTAGACCAGGCTGGCCTCGAACTCAGAGATCCACCTGCCTCTGCCTCCCGAATGCTGGGATTAAAGGTGTGTACCACCACTGCCTGATAACACTGATTTTCCACTTCCTAATTTTTACATTTAGAGGATGACGTGTCACAGAGAGATTCTTCTCTTGTCACTTAAGGTTCTTAACACCTTCTGTGCCTGAATGTCCATTTCTTTCCTTAGATTTGTAAAATTATATGCTACCATTTCACTGAATGCCCTTTCTATTGCTTTAGATTTTTCTTTTAGTTAATTTGTTGGGGGTTTATTTATTTTAGGTGCATGAACGTTTTGCCTGCATGTGTGTTTGTTCCTTGTGTGCATGCCTGTTGGAGTTGGATGGTGGTTAGCCACAGTGTGGTGGGTGCTGGAAACCAAACCTCTGCAAGAAAAGCACGTCCTCTTTAACTGTTGAGCAATCTCTCCACCCTTCCTTAGACTTTATTTCACGTCTTCCTTCTGTTCTCTGGATTCATAGGTTTGGCCTCTTGATCATGTCCCATAGTTCTTGAAGGTTCTCATACTTGTTTTTCTTTAGGTGTTTTGTTTTGTTGTGTAGCTTTGCGCCTTTCCTGGAACTCGCTTTGGAGACCAGGCTGGCCTCGAACTCACAGAGATCCGCCTGCCTCTGCCTCCCAGGGTTTTTCTTTTTGAGACAGGGTCTCACTGCAGTGCTAGCCAGCCTGGAATTCACTATGTAAGCCAGGTTAATAACTCATAGAGATCTATTTGCATGTCTCCCAAGTGCTGAGATTAATCGATTGCACAACCACACATGGACCTCGCCGTATTTCACTTTTTTGAGACAGGTTTCTGTGGATGAGGCTGGCCTCCCACTTTGTACATCAGGATTATTTTGAAATTCTGACAAATCTGCCTCCATCTCCTGAATGTATGGGCCATCACCTCTGGACTGTATGCTGCTGTGATCCAAATCCAGGACCATGTGCATGCTGCACAAGCCCTCTACCAACTGAGCCACACCTTAGCTACCCTCACATTTTGACCTCTCCTTTATGTTAGCCTATTTAAAACAAAAAGTGTCAGGATTGGAAAGATGACTCAGCAACAAAGAGCACATTTTGTTCTTACAGAGGACAAGTTGGAGTCTCAGGCCCCATCAGGAGTCTTACAACTGCTTGTACTTGGACATCTGTCTGTCTGTCTGTCTATGCACATGCCTGTTACATCACTGACTGATACATCTGCCTTCAATCTTATGCAGGCTTCGGTGATATAATGGAAATATTCAAGTGTACTATTTTGCAGATGTGCTCTGGTGATGAAGTCCAACAAATTCCTCTTCAAATCTCCATCTCTCTGGTGGTCATAGGAAAGCTTCAGCTACTCCTGATTTGTGTGATGCATTTCCCATAAATAGGAGGCTCTTAATGTCTGGTAGATAGGTCAGTGATGGACTGACACACCTTAGTATGTGCTTAGTTTCTGTTCTATGTTTTCTTTCTTTCTTTCTTTTTCTTCCTTCCTTCCTTCCTTTCTCTCTCTCTCTCTCTCTCTCTCTCTCTCTCTCTCTCTCTCTCTCTCTCTCTTTTATGCATCATGAGGCCTGCTTGTTGCTAGGCTTTACCCACACATGTCTCATTTTCATTTGTTATCGCAGAATCTACTTGCTGTTCCTGGAAACCACTCAACTGTGGGTCAAGTCCAGTGCATACCAGGCACAAATCCAAGGCCACCGCTGTCTCACATCACAGGCCTCTGCAGGAGGTCCCGCCTTTCAGTCTGGGAAGGCATGAATGGGCAGAAGTCTGTGTAGACATTACAAAATCCTGTGTCACATGTCTGTTCATAGGCATAATTATACTCTTTATATTAGGAATGCATGGGGCTATACCTTCATGGTTAGAGAATTCTCACCTCTTTAGAGAAAAATACCTTAAATCAGCAAGTTGACTAAATGCCTGAAGCCCCGAGAGATCAAAGGGAAAAGCTGGGCATGTTGGCACTCAGGCAATCTAAGTTCTCAGGAGACTGGGGGAGGAGAGGAAAGAGTTTGAGAACATCTGGGATCAATAGTGAGACCCTGTCAGAAAATAAAAACAAAACCCACAGACTTTGATATTTTTCTCAGAAACATCAACTTTCAAAACAACAACAGAAAACAAGTTTTTCTCTTTTTTCTTTTCTTTTTTTTTTTTTTTTTTGTGGGGAGGGGAAGACAGGTTCGTACTATGTAGCATTGGAATTCACTATGTATACCAGGCTTGCCTTGAACTCACAGATCCAAAAAGGAACGAAAAAAGGCAAACAATAAAAGAAAATAAGCAGAAAAACATGGGTACCAGGTGTGGCTGAATGAAGTGAGAACATGACCACTCCAAAGTATGGTTGAGAGGAAGAGTTTTTGTTTGTTTGTTTGTTTGTTTGGTTTGGTTTGGTTTTTGGTTTTTTAAGACAGGGTTTCTCTGAGTAGCTTTGGAGTCTATCCTGAAACTCACTCTGTAGACCAGGCTGGCTTCGAACTCACAGAGATCACCTGCCTCAGCCTTCTGAGTGCTGGGATTAAAGGCATTGGCCACCACTGCCCAGCTGAGGGGAAGGGTATTATTGTAGATATGAGGGAAAGTACAGCCAGAAGCTTGAGGAAAAGTCCAGTGCAGAGACAGAAGGTAGTAGACTAAACCTGACCAGTAGATTAGACTGGGCCATGAGAGAAGAGAATAGGAGATCAAGAGAAGAAATGAGAAGAGAGGGGGGTAAGAGATAGGTCCAAGAGGACCAAGAGAGCCAAAAAGGAAGAGAGCATATGGCTGAATGGCAGAGTTATACAGGAATCAGAAGTAGATCATGAGCTAGAGGAGTTTAGGATAGGGCACAGGGTGAGAAGAGCTGAGAGGAGCCAGGATGCCAGCATGGACTCTGAAACAGGTACTTACAAGGCTTCGATATGCTAATAGGCACCAGAGGTAGCTGTTTTGTCCCTGTTTCTTTAGAACCTGACAGTGGCCCATGCCTTTACATCAGCACTCAGAACACAGAAGATGGTAGATCTTGTGTGTTCTAGGATAGCCTGGTCTACAGAAAGAGTTCCAGGCTAGCCAGGCCTACACAGTAAGACTATATCTAAACAAACAAACAAACAAAACATGGGTGGTAAGGCCAGAGAAATGGCTCATTGACTAATAGCACTTACTGTTCTTTCAGAGAAACTTGGTTCCATTCCCAGCATCCACAACACCAGTTCCAGTGACTCTGATGCCTGCTCTGCCCTCCAAGGGACCAGACATACATGTGGTGCACATAATACAAACCCACAAATGTAAATAAGTCTTTAAAATAAAAACTCACTATGTAGACCAGGCTGAACCTGAACTCACAGAGATCTGGCTGTCTCTGCCTCCTGAGTGCTGGGATTAAAGGCCTGTGCCATCGCATCCAGGTATACATAAGTAATAAAATTTCTAAAATGAGGCTAGAGAGATGAGAAGGCTCAGAGGTTAAGACCACTGGCTGCTCTTCCAAATGTCCTGAGTTCAATTCCCAGCAACCACATGGTGACTCACAACCATCTATATAATGAGATCTGGTGCCCTTTTCTAGTGTGTGGGCATACTTTCAGGCAGGACTCCATATACATAATATATAAGTGAATCTTTTTTTAAAAAATTGATAAAATAAATACTTCATGACTTACAGAATGTCAGGATGTGAGAACCTGGTATTTGATATGCTCTAGAAGGAAATATGAAACACATAGCCACTTAGAACAGAATTTGGTAACTTCTTAAAAACTTAAAACATGGAGCTGGAGAGAAGCTTCAGTGTGTAAGACCACTTACTGCTCTGACAGAGAACCTGGATTCCATTCCCAGCAAACACTGTGGGTTCATAACCATCTGTAACCCCTGTTGCAGGGATTCAATGCCTTTTTGTAGCCTCAAGGGCACCAGTTATGCACTTAATATATATACATATGTGCAGCCAAAATACTCACACATGAAAAGACAGCAAACACCTAAAACATATGGACTGGACTCCTATATGACAGAATAAAGTGCTACATGGAGCTGGTCCCCTACAAAACTGGGGACAGTTAGAAGCACAACAATCATGAAGACTATACAGCAAACAATCATATATTCCAGGAACTACAACATTCATTTAAAAAATAAATAAAATAAAATCATGTCTTATTTAATGGAAGCCACTCTTCCCCCATTCAAACTCAGTACCATGGAAACTCCACTCCTCACTGGTACAGTCAAGAAAACAGGGCTGCCTAAGTTCCCCAGAAAGTATTAATTTGGGGGAAATAGGAAGATGGCAATAATCTTCATCTAGTCCCAATGTTCTTATTCGATGAGTAACTTTCAATGAAAGGCCACTCTCAGGACTTCTGTTCAAAATCTGGTTCACTCCTAATGCGGAGCAAGGTTGGCCAATGGCTGAAACTTTTCTCTACATTTTCTGCATTCACAAACCTATCTGGGTTGTGTGGATAGTAGGATATTACTATTATAAGCAGACATTTGCTCAAAGGCTTTCCTAGAGTCAGTGGGCTCATGATGCATCCCAGTACTGTGGCCTCTCCAGTTCAACAGGATGGAGGTGTGGGTGAAGGCTCCTCACATCTGAAACACTCTTGACTTTTGTCCAGTGAGCATTCTCTTGAGTTCATATTCATACAGTAGCCTATGAAAATGATTTTCCCCATTCACTGCACCCAATACATATATTCTACCCAGTGTGAATCTTCTAGATTCTAGAAAATCAGGTCCTGTAGCAAAACACTTATCCACACTCCTTGCACTCACAATGCTTCGCTGCAGTGTGAAATCTCTGATGTTTAATGAGGCCACACCTCACAGTAAAGAATCTCCCACACACATTACACTCAAAATAATTTCCTCTGTTGTGAACTTATTGATCTTTCATGAGGTGAGAAATGTTTGTTTTGTTTTGAACACTTCCCAGATTCATGACATTCAGAAGGCCTTTTCCCCAGTGTGCACTCAGACATGATAAACACAGCTGAATTTTTTTTTTTTTTTTAAACGGTTTTCCTCATCCACTGCACTTCTAAGGCTTTTCTCCAGTATGAACTCGATAATGATGCAAAAGGCTTGATCTGTTCATGTAGGATTTCCCACATTCACTGCAGGTAAAGGGTGTTTCTCCTGTGTGCACTCGCTGATGAGCAACAAGAAAGCAGTTATGCTTGAAGGCTTTGCCACATTCACTACACCTGAAAGGCTTTTCTCCGGTGTGAATTCTGAAATGCTTAATGAGAAAGGCTTTTTGGCTGAAAGATTTCCCACATTCGCTGCACTGAAAAGGCCTTTCTCGAGTGTGCACTCGGGCATGATAAACAAGGCTGGACTTTTCCTTAAAGGCTTTTCCACACTCGCTGCAATTGTAAGGCTTTTCATCGGTGTGAACTTGATAATGACGTGTAAGGTTCGATCTGGTCATATACGATTTCCCACATTCACTGCACGTAAAGGGTGTTTCTCCTGTGTGAACTCGCAGATGAGAAACGAGGGAGATATTATGCTTGAAGGCTTTGCCACATTCACTGCACCTAAAAGGTTTTTCTCCAGTGTGAATTCTGAAATGCTTAATGAGAAAGGCTTTTTGGCTGAAGGACATCCCACATTCGCTGCACTGAAAAGGCTTTTCTCCCGTGTGTATCATCCGGTGCCGATTAAGGTGAGATGTACTAGTAAAGACTTTGCCACAGTCACTGCATATGCAGGTTTTCTTCTCAGCGTGAATGGCCTCTCCACTCTCAGTGCTCTTGGGTGCCTCCCCACCACTGGAAGTCACCTGATGCCTAAGAAGACCTGAAGAAGTCTGGATGATCATTGCATTGTCTGCACTTAGCAAGGGTGTCTCAGCACAGCTCAGCATTTGCTGTTGGAGCATGGATGAACTAAGATCTCCTTCTGTGGAAAGACTCTGCTCAAAGCGGGGCATTTCACTCTCCACTTTGATCCAACAACCTGAACAGAGACAAATACTGATGAATGGCATGGAGACTGTCAAATGACAGACAGACAGCACATATTACTAAGTGTTCTGAGACTTTTTACCGAACAAGGGGATTAGTTCAGGGTGGTAAGGACCCATTGTCATGCTGAATTTGTCAATATCATAGGACCTAGGGACCTTCGGGACAGTAAGAAAATAATCGTGGAGTGAATCACTGGGAGAAGCACTGTGAACCATAACACTGTCCTCAGCAATAGCTTTCCACAAGCCTCAGCTGCTGGAAATGCAGGACACAGTGCAGAAGGCTGTCTAGGCATGGTAACTGAGGAACTGGCATTCAAGGACTGCCCTAGGTATAATGCACACTAACACCATCAAGGAAAGCCTGAGTTTCACGGTGTGGCAAAGCCACGGGCCAAACATTTGAAAATGATACCTGGGGACAGTCCTGGTTCAGATATAATAGCTACACACATCAGAGACCAGCAGCTTCCGAGTACCTACATCATACCTGGAGTCAGGAATCTCAGTGCAGGCACAGAGAGCTCTCCCCAAGACTCTAGCTGAGTGACGCCATGGATCCCAGAAGGTGTAAGTCCTAAAGTAAAATGATACAAGAAGTGAGAGTTCTGTTCTAGGACTGAGTGATGCAACCCATACATTCGATGGGAAAGAAGCCTAATGAGAATAATCCGGTAAGAGTGTCTCACATAATAAAAAAAAAAAAAAAAAACACAATAACGAGCTCACCAGTGCCACAATTCCCGCCGCATGCAGACAGAAGGCATGTTACCTAGAAGCACCCAAGTAACAAAGATGCCAAACATTTCCAGTGTCACCAGGTCACAGAGGAGCCATCAGTGTTAAGGCTGGTAACCCCAGGCAGCGCATGGTTGTGCAAGCCATTAATCACAGCACTCAGGAACCAGAGCAAGATCTTGGTGAGTTAGAGGAGAGCCAGGTCTCCCTAGTGAGACCAGCACAGCCAGGTCTCTACAGACAGACCATGACTCAAACCGTCCCCAAACCCCAAAAAAGATCCTAACCCTAGACTGATTCCTGTGTCCTTTTGCTGCAACCGTGAGAAACAAGGCTGCTGTGAAACAAGGTCTGTTTTTAACCGGTACTTTATACTCCAGGACAGTGGAAGAAAGATTCCGTGTCCACAGGTCAAATTTGAGAAGGATAAACTCCTCCTTAGGAAAGACAAGCCAGCCAGGTGGTGGTGGCTTCACGCCTTTAATCCCAGCACTCAGGAGGCAGAGGAAGGCAGATCTCTGTGAGTTAGAGGCCAGCCTGTCTACAAAGTGAGTTCCAGAACAACCAGGACTACACAGAGAAACCTTGTTTTGGAAAAAGAAAGAAAGAAAGGAAGAAAAGAAGGAAGGAAGGAAGGAAGGAAGGAAGGAAGGAAGGAAGGAAGGAAAGAAAGAAAGAAAGAAAGAAAGAAAGAAAGAAAGAAAGAAAGAAAGAAAGAAAGAAAGAAAGAAAGAAAGAAAGAAAGAAAGAAAGAATACAAGCCTACACAGACATGCTCTGACAGGATGGGAGCAGTCCTTACCCAGCGAGGACATGAGTGTAAAGATCTCAGTCATCACAGTCTGGTACAGCAGCCTTTGGGAGTCATCAAGCAGTTTCCATTCCTCCCAGGAGAAGTACACAGCCACATCCTCAAAGGACACACAACCCTGCCACAAAAGGGAAAGTGGAGTTTATGTGAAGTCTCCTTGTCAGGGACTCTTTCCATCCTCAAGACAGCCATTCTCACTGAGCTTCCTACCTCCGAGGGTACCAGGCTCTGAAGCTAGGACATCCAGTCTGTCCTCAAGGGCCCACCGAGTACTCTGGTCAGCACTCAGCAAGAACGGGCAGGTGGACAGGGGGTGGCTTAGTCACTTTTCTATTACTGGGAAGAGACACCATGACCAAGGCAACTTATAGAACCAAGAGTTCATTGGGGGCTCACAACTCAGACAGGGAGTCCATGACCCTCATGGCAGCAGGCATCATGGCACCGGAGCAGCAGCTGAGAGCTCACATCCTGAACCATAGGTACCAGAGAGAGTTAACTGGGAATGGCATGGGCTTTCGAAACCTCCAAGCCCATCCCCAGTGACACACCTCCTCCAGCAAGGCCACACCTCCTAGTCCTCCCCAGACTCTCCCACCAATGGGGAACAAGTATTCAAGTCTATGAGCCTATGGGGGCATGGTCATTGAAACCACCACAGCTGGAGTCAATCCAAGCTTGAAGGATGCCATGGAAAGGCCCTCCTTTCTATCAGAGAATTCACATGGGCTCCTCCCAATCATCTGCCTCACACAGACCATATTTGGGTCACTGGTATCCACTGTGTCCCAGGCAGGAAGGCCAGGAAGCCATCTATACATACTCTCACAGCATACACATCAGTCTTCACACTGAACTTCCATTTCCAACTCAGTATGCAAGCCCAGGCTACTACCTTCCACTAAATCCAGCAGACCTCATGCACACCTGAGGATTCCTCTGCATTCCCTACCATCTCACTTCCAGGCAGCCGCTAATGCTCATCCCTGGAACTTTAAGACCTTGGAAACTTAAGCCAGTGGTTGCCATAAATGGAAACCTGGCCATGTAACCATGTATTCCCTGCTGTGGACATGGGGACCTTATGTTCTGAGCACCTGCCAGGAAAGCCAATGGAAGGAGAGAATGCTAAGCAAAGAGTCCCAGGACACCACAATCACAGAGGTCTCTTATGTGAAGACTGAGGAGTGTGTTTCCTGAGCACCCTCCACTTACCTCTTCCTGGTTGGCAGGTTTCACTGAATAATGGGAAACCTGCAGAAAAACAATGCTGTGAGTAACAAACGAAGTGTTGGTATCCCAAAGGTCCATCCAAGTCCCCTCACATACCTGTAGTCAGGTACACCCAACTGCCCCCATGGGCTCCAGCTCTTAATGGTGTCTCTTACTGAGTGACCTCGGACAAGGAATCAATCTCCTCAATTTGTTCTCTGAGGATGAGAATGGCAGCCTAAGGCTGGAGAGATGGCTCAGAGGTTGAGAGCACTGGCTGATCTTCCAGAGGACCCAGGTTCAGTTCCCAGCACCCACAAGGCAGCTCACAACTGTCTGTGACTCCAAGATCTGACACCCTCACACAGACATACACGAAGGCAAAGCACCAATGGACATAAAATAAAAATAAATAAATAATTTTTTAAAAAAGGAAAGGCAGTCTGTCTTATTTACTGTTCTATTGCTGTGACAAGACACCATGACCCAGACAACTCTTACAAAAGAAGTCATTTAACTGGGGCCTGCTTACAGTTTCACACTGTTAGTGCATGACCACCACGGTGGGAAGCAGACAGCCATGACACTGGGGCCATCTCCAAGAACTTTAGATCCCCAAGAACTTTACATCCTGACCCACTTGCAGCAGGCAGAGACAGAGACACCCTGGTCCTGGTGTGGGCTTCTGAAACCTCAGAGTTCACTCCCAGCCGCACACTTCCTCCCACAGTACTACACTCCCCAGTCCTTCGATCCTTCTCAAACAGTTCCATTCCCTGGTGACCAGCATTCAAATATTTGAGTCTAGGGGAGCCATTCTCATTCCAACCAACACAAAATCCTACTCTAAAAAGAGAATCATAGTATCAAACCCGGTCTGATGTATCAAGTACTTGGTACAGGCTCTTCCTGTGCACATGACTCAAGCTTCTGTGAAGAGTTTCACAAACGCACGTTTTCAAAATGTATGGTTTTATCTCCACACATAAGACTTTGGTATTAGCCAGGTGTGATGGTACAGACCTTTATGCAACACTTGGAAAGCAGACACAGGCAGACTTCTGTGTGTGAGGAGGCCACCATGGGCCACAAAGGCCAGTTAGTGTCACATGATGAGTCTCAATGGGGCTGTGGGGGGGGGGGGGGATAACTAACACAGACTTTACTCAAATACTGAATGTCTTCAACTAACTGTAAAGTACTTTCAGTAATATTTTACTCTTGCCTGTCACAAACACTCCCCAACGGGGCCAATTGTTTTACTTTATCCAATTTTGCTTCACAACTACACTCAGCTCAGCAGCAAGTCCTGATGGCTGAGTTTTTAAAATTCATTGGAAGGTCAGGAGAGATGGCTCTGCTGTTTAGGGCACATTCTCCTTTTACAGGCTACCAGAGTTCAGTTGGCAGCCTTACCCCAAAGGAGAACACAGAAGAAGGCAGATCTCTGTGAATTCAAGTTCCAGCCAAGATAAAAATAAAATAAAATAAAACAAAAATTAAAAGGAAAAGAAAGAAAGTACATCTTTAAAAACTATGAAAGAAGGCCTGCGTAGGAGGCCACTCCTTTAATCCTATCACTCAGGAGTTAAAGGTATATATTTTGAGGGCTGCCTGGTATATAGAGAGAGTTCTAAGACAGCCATGACTACATAGAGATAGATAGATAGATAGATAGATAGATAGATAGATAGATAGATAGATAGATAGATAGATGGGTGGGTGGGTGGGTGGGTGGGTGGGTGGGTGGGTGGGTGGATGGATGGATGGATGGATGGATGGATGGATGGATAGACGGACGGACGGACAGACAGACAGACAGACAGACAGACAGACAGACAGATAGATAGATAGATAGATAGATAGATAGATAGATGGTAGAAAATATCAGAAATCTATCAAAGATCCGAAGAGTCTCACCACCTCCATGACCCACACTCCAACCCGTTCATAATTCCACAGGATTTACTCATGGATTCATAGGTCTCTGTCTCCATCCACATTACCCGACCTCAGCCCGATATTCCCCAGAAAGCTTGGAAAACTGAATAGATCGAATCTCTCCAATGTTCAAATCTTCCGTGGAGTCTCCACAAACAAAAGTCAGTTCCTTAGACGCACTGAGTCCGCCCCCATCTAATGCCAGCAGGGGTCACTCCAGGGCTACTACTGTCATTGAGTTCAGGCCCGCCCACAAGCCTTGGGAAGTACAGTCTACCAGACGCTGTGAGTCAGAGGGGGTCGTTTTCTAGCATACAGATGTCAGAAATAAGAACCACGTCCACTAGTGTCCTACAGTCGGGGACACAAGACCTGCCCCTTTGGCTCCTGACCCAAGATCTCAAAGCTCTAGAACTCAGGGGTAGGCGGGCGATCACCAGGCACTCACCTGGAACAAGGCTCCACCCGCAGCCTCCACCATCACCATCGGGCTCCACTGGCCGGCGGGGCCCTGGGACATGGCCATTCCTACTCGAAGCCTGGTCATACAAGTCGTCACAAACCTCAGATCCGTCTCCGTGACAGAGGACAAACGCTTCTAACTCTCCCGTTTTCCTGCCATGATCAATGCTAAAGAAACCAGTTTTCTGTGAATCAGATTGACAGACCCAGAAAGTTTCAAAGAAATCTCCTGCACGCAAAGCCAAAAGTCCCGCCCAGCGTCGTTTTGTCGTCACCGAAACGCTCATTTTCATTGGCTGAGATCGGAGCAGTGTCTTCTGGACAATGTAGTTCAGATAGGATCAAACGCCAGGAAGTGGACACACCTGCCCTGATGGAGCAAGATACTCAGTCTAGTTGGGAGACTGTTTTAAATTACAGATGTGCCAATATTTCCTTGAGCTACAAGGTCGGACTTGCTGACCCACTTAAGTTACAGAACTGCAGGCAGAGGCAGGTGGATCTCTGGGGTTAGAAACCAACCAGTCATAGTTCCAAGACCAGGCAGGGAGCATTGAGACACCCCGATGTTTTGTTTTATTTAATGTTTACGTAAGATGCCTGAGAAGGGGCAGTGTTGGCTTATGGATTTTAAATGAAAAATAAAAAGGGAAGGATATGACTGTTTCTAGGTATGGTAGAGGAGAAGGTTTACTGTAGATAAAAGGGAGAGAATAGCCAGAAGCGGAGACATCTGGGAGAGTTCAGAGAGAACACGACCCTTACCCATGTGAGGAGAGGGGAGAGTAGCCGTTGACCAAGAGGAGCAGCCTGGCCTAGAGACTGGCATAACCAAAATGGCTGAGTTACACAGAGGAGCTGGGAGGAAGAAAGTCCAGCCCAATACTTGAGCTAGGGAGCTCAGGGTGGGGGTCTGGGTATGCCAGCCAGAAGGGTCCTGTAGCAGGTTGAGATTGAGGGATGCTGGAAGAACCTGGCGGCCAGTGTCCGCTTTGATATGCTAATGGACACTTCAGTTAGCCATCTGTCTTGGGTTTGACACCTAACAGATCTTAAGCCTTTACCTGTATATGAACGGTATTTGCCAGATCGTTTTGCAAATAAAATGAAGGAATTATCGTGGAGAAACAAAGAAAGGATATATTTGGAATATTACACCACTGATCTCCAGAATTCAGATTCTTCTCATTTTGACGCATCAGATATGTTCTCAAGAATAACTTTCCTATTGTGCATCCCCGTGCTAAGGGAAATTTGGGGATGCATAACAGGATTCAGCCCTGCAAATCACCATACTGTGGGCACTGAGGATGCACTTCAGAGGGACTCGGGCAGCAGCTTCCCAGGGAAATAAGAACACGCGCATAGGTAACCACCACAGTGTCTGCAAGGAGTCCCATTAACTCCTTACATGCCACCTCTCCAACTTCCATCTCTGTAACCCGTCCTGTTCTTCACTGTGCAGCTGTCTGAACTACATTACCCAGAAGAGCCTGTGCAGAAAGGCAGGAAGGTTGGGTGGAGGTGTTGGTGCTTGCTTGTAATCCCTGTGGATCTCTGAGTTTGAGGCTAGCCTGGTCTAAGGAGTGAATTCAAAAGCAGTCAAGGCTACATAGAGAAAGGGTAGCCCAGTCAGCTGGTCTGTGAACTCTGGATGAGGTGACACATGATCCCTGGCCTACCTGATGTTACAACATCCCGGGGTCAGGGTGGTGAGCCTGGGCATTGGGCTGATGTCCCCTGATAGTGATCCAGTCTTACACGGTTCCTGTTTTTATTTATTAATTTTAGTCCTTTAAAGATTGTACTTGCTCTCTGGGCCAGTATCGCTCCTGTAAACATGTGAGTATTCCTAAGACCCGAGGGACTTTCTGCAAGCTGTGTGGCAAGCACCAGGACAAAATGACCCAGTTCTAAGCGGATTTTGTTATAAAGACAATAAAATCATGAGTTTTTACTTACTTAAAAAAAAATAAACTTTTTTTTCATTTGCGTATCTGTGTCCCTGCACTTGTGCAAGTCAGAATACCTTTTGCAAATGTCAGTTTTCTCCTTCAGCTGTTTAAATTTAGATAGTTGCTTTCCCCCGTTAGCCATATCACCTTCCCTGGATTCCCACTTCTGACATGTGTGTGCTAGACCAATGGTTCTCAACCTTCCTAATGTTGTGATCCTTTGTAAAATATCTGTGTTGCCCCGGGGGTCTTAGGCAACCCCTGTGAAAGGGTCATTCCACCCACAAAAGGGGTTCAAACACACAGGTTGAGAACTAATGTGCTAGAGTGTTGCACCTTCTGCAAGTAATTTTATTTTTGTTTGTTGTTGTTGTTGTGTGAGACAGGGTCTCCTTGACTGTCCTGGAACTTGCTCTGTAGACCAGATTAGCCTTGAACTCAGAGATAATGCTAAAGGTGAGCCCCACCATGTGGAGCTTAATTTTTGTTTGGTGTGTGTGTGTGTGTGTGTGTGTGTGTGTGTGTGTGTGTGTGTGTGTGTGTGTGTAACTCCAGGGTGCTGGTATTAAAGAGGTCAGCCACCACACCCAGCTTAGTCGTTTGTTTTTTTCCACCTGTGCCTCTGAAATACGGGGATTAAAGGTGTGCACCACCACACCCAAACCCAGCTGCACTTGCTCTTTCCGAGGATCCAAGTTCAGTCAGTTGCCAAGTCCACTAGGGTCTCACAGCATTGATCACTCCAGTTTCATGACATCTGATGCCTTTTTCTGGCTTCCACAAAGCCTCCAGGCATGTGCCACAAATACATACATGCAAGCAGACACTCATACATATAAAATAAAAAAAATAAATTTTAGCTGGGAGGTGGTGGCACACGCCTTAATCCCAGCACTCGGGAGGCAGAGGCAGGCAGATATCTGTGAGTTCGAGGCCAGCCTGGGCTACAGAGTGAGTTCCAGGACAGGCTCCAAAGCTACACAGAGAAACCCTGTCTTGAAAAACCAAAAAAATTAAATTAATAAATAAATAAATAATAAATAAATTTTAAAACATGATTTTGTTGTTGTTGTTGTTGTTGTTGTTTTAAGTGGGCTTGACTGAAATGAGAGGAAAGAAGGAACTGGAGAGTGGGACTTCCTCCACTGTGAAGGGAGCAGGCAAAAGCACCTTTGCGTTGCTTACAATGCACTTCCTGTTTACTTGGGTAATATTATATTCTTCTGGGGTCTTTGATGGAATTGAAGACTAGGTAGTTATAATTATAGTTTTCCTTAGTTATGAGAAAAGATCAATTAGATATGAAACTTTAGACTCACAAAGATAGGATAAATGATAGAGCATTTTCTTTAATTTTGACAAATACAAATAGACTAAATATTGTAACTGTAATTCTTGCTTGATAACTCTTGTTATATGTAATTTTACTATGTTAAAATGAAGACACTCCCTTTTGATTGGACAGAAAAGGGCAAGTGCTGTGGGATGGTCTTTTTGTATGCTATGAGTATGTGTAGCTCCAATTGGTTAATAAAGAGGCTGCTATGGCCTTAAAAAAAAAAAGCACTTTCACCTAAGTACTGTCCTTTTGACTTCAGACTCCATTTTACCTTTAGGGTAAAACAAAGTTCAGGTTCCCAAGCCTTAGGGGAGCTAAGAAAGAGTCGTTATGCATCTTTAGTTCTCTAGAAACATTACAGCGGTTCCTAACCACAGAAAGAACAAATGAATCTGTTTGGTTGGACTGAAAGGCTTGCACTGTATATCTATCGGTTGACAGTGATGGGACATTCAAGGAAGCCCTCGATCTCTAAATCCTGATTGGTCAAAATTGTAACTGTAACTTGGCAACAAATGTTTGTGAATTTGTGCTTATAAACCCCAGCTTCTTCCCCTGCTCGGGGCTGCCAGGAGAAACAAGGCTCCGGAGTCCTTGCTCCGCAGCCCTGGTTGATCAGTGACTGGTTATGTGATGAAAGATTGAAATCTTTGGAACCCATAAGTATTGCCTCTCTTCTTAGGTGCAACAACTGATGTAGGCCCCTTCTGACTGGTGGCTGCAGGACCGGACATTTTTAGAGTGTGAGCATTCTGGATTGTGATTGAGACATGGCTCTTGGTGGGATAGATTCAGTTCAGCAGGCCTTCATGGCCACTCCCTGTGGAGAAAAGGAAGGTCAGTCATGCACTTGGCACAAGTAGCCCATCTGTGCCTCACCTCCTCAGCCTTACGCAGAGGAATGATCCTCTGTCCCTATGAAAGGACCCTAGCAGAATTCTCTCCTTGGGGTACACACCAGCCAGTTAGCTGAAGTCTAAAGCCTGATTTCTCAGGCTCTGTGTTTGTTTAATCACTCTGATCTGATGAGTACCTGTTGAAACAGTATTTGGTCAAGATTCACACATAAATGGGTGATTAAAACAGCATGGAAATAACATTATTGTGAGCACTTAACAATTGCTTGAAAATATTCAGCACTTAAAGATTTTTTTTTTTAATGAAATGTTTGATTCTGAAGCCCTCCCTGGCTGTCTTGGAGTTTACAATGGCTGTATAGACCAAGTTGGCCTTCAACTCATAGATACCTACCTGATTCTGTCTCCAAGGGTGCTGAGATTAAAGGTATGTGCCACCACACCCAACCTTGAGGAAAATGTAATTGCTAGATATCACATTCTAAATTAAATGTATGTAAAATAAAACCATACATTTCCTAAACCTGCCTGATTATTTGCATTGAAATTCTTGATAGAAATCCAATTATGTGTCCAAGCAGAGAGACCTTACTGTTAGGTCTCTAACCTGGGACAAATAGCTGAGGTGTCCATTAACATATCAAAGAGGAAGCTGGCCTCCTGGTTCTCCCAGCTTCCCTCTGTCTCTAGCTCTCAGAGGACCCTCCTGGCTGGCTGGCATACCCCGTCCCCTACCCTGAACTCTCCAGCCCAGATATTGGGCTGGGCTCCCCTCCCCCTACCCCCAGCTCCTCTAGCCCCTATATAAATCAGCCAATTTGGCTATGCCATGATCTCGGCCAGTCTCTCGGCCCAGGACACTCCTTTTGGTGGGCAGCTCCTCCCCCACTCTACCTCTCCCTTCCCCCCTTCTCTTCACATGGCCAGGCTCAGGCTTGTGTTCACTCTTGTCCCTGCCTCTGGCTATGCTCTCCCTCACATCTTCAGTAACACTTCTTCTCCAGCATACCTAGGAGCTGTCATGTCTTCTCCTTTTTATTTTATTTTTTTCATTCACTAACCAAGTACATAACACACAGGACTGAGTTTGACAC